GAGATGCTCTGGAACAGGCTACGGGAATGATCTTGCTGTAATTGACGGTAATGAGTAACTAATGACCCTAATTAGGCCCGTTGCGGTGCCCTGGGAGGACAGACGCTTGGTGCTGAGGGAGAGACAGAGCTGCACTGGAGGGGCAGCTGACGAAGGGCACAGGGCACTTTGCAAGCAGGTAAAGTGACAGCCAGACACATGTACTCTGCACAGCCATGTCCGCAGCTATAATTGGCGGTGGTGACCAAAGCGTGGGGTAACTTTTTTTTTTTTTTTTTGGTTTTGCTTTTACTCATTTGCAAAAATGATCGGCCTTAAAGAAATAAAGCTTGTAGTGTGTGATTGCTTACCAAAACAGCACCTCAAGGCATATGCATGGTTAATACCACAAGGCCTGAGGTGTGACAGGCATGTTGTCTCCTTATTCATGGACATTCAGGTGTTAGGCTCTTCAAAAAGTACAATATTCACCATTTGTACTTTTGTAGGTAGAGTATACACCTGTAGGTGTCAGTGTTCCTGTAGGACACGTTCTCAGAATGGTAATTTGGAGATCAAAGGATATGTCCTTTTTCTTTTTTTTTTTTTTAATTTTTTTAATGTTTATTTTTGACAGAGAGAGAGCGTGAACAGGGGAGGGCAGAGAGAGAGAGAGAGAGAGAGAGAGAGAGAGAGAGAGAGAGAGAAAGACACAGAGATTCAAAAGTAGGTTTCAGGTTTCTGAGTTAAATAGCACAGAGCTCACGGTAAGCCAAACTTCATAAAATTCTGCAGGAGATATCATGACCTGAGCCAAAGTCAGATGCTTAACCGACTGAGCCACCCAGGCGCCCCATCTATAGGTATGTATTGATGCAGTCGTTTTTGGAGCTGAGTTTTGAAATGCTGGTTAACATTGAAAAAGCACATTGAAAAGCGCCTGGGTGGCTCAGTCGGTTAAGCATCTGACTTCAGCTCAGTGATTCAATGGCCAGGGTTTGAGTTCCCAAGGTCAAGTTGTGCTGACAGCTCAGAGCCTGCTTCATGTTCTGTGTCTCCCTCTCTCTCTGCCCCTCCACCCCCTTCAAAAAAATAAACAAACATTAAAAATACATACCTATAGATAGATGTGAGAAAAGGCTTGGGTATTCTCTGTAACTTGATAATTTTCATTTGAGAACAGCAAGCACCATGTTTTTGGTGTATTTTCAAAAATCTTCAGCACCTGGTGTGGTACCCAGCTTGTGATGGGCTCTTAGATGCTTGCTGTTGGGTAGATAAAAGAACATGAGAAAGATTGCCACACTCCCTGGATCAGCCCAGAGTCACACATACACGTGTGTGCACACGCACACGTTTACCCTCACGTGCGCCCACACCTCTGCGTGCACACACACGCCTTCACTAAACCTCATGCTCCAACCCTGTCCGCTCTTTTCCCTAATTCAGTTGAAGTCATAATGGAAGAGGTGGAGATAGCCTCTCCACCATGGACGCCAGGACATGCTGGGGGTCCCCTGGGGAAGGATCGGGCCTTGTGTGTTCCTCTTGGCCCACTCCCGATCCCCTACCTGGGCCACGGGCACTCAGGGAGGAGCTGCGAAATAAACACGAGACAGGAGCGGTGTCCGCCGTGCTGACAAAGGGTGGTGTGCAGGGCCCAGCAGAGGAAAAGTTCACAAAGGTGAGTCTGGAGAGACGTCAGGCAAGTCCATGAGTGCCTGGTGTCAGATTCCAGATTTTACCTGTGGATGCCAGGGAGTTGTTGAGGTCTTCGAACCAAAGACTGGCACGATGAACACCGTGTTTGAAGGTGGTCAGCTTGCAGGTGTGCACCTGCATGGGACAGAGAGAGGGATTTTCTCGGGAGATCATGGAGGGCAGGGGAGGGGTCAGCACAGCAGGGCCCAGGAATGGCATTAAGGGAGGGGATGCGTGGTGAGTTGATTGAGGAGGTGGAGTCCATAGGATTTGAAAAGGAGCAGGAGGGCCTCCATTATCTACTCTGGGCAAGGAGAGGTGAGGCGGGGAGGGGGGCAGGGCCTGTACAAAGACCAGGCAGTGCAGGTTAACTCTGCAAGAACCAGATGGTGGGTGTGTGCAGCCCTGTGAGCCCTGTCCTGGTTGAGCCCAGGAACTAAAATTCACCTCTGGTGCCTCTTGAACATCAAGTAAGATTATGAGAGAATTGGGTCTCCACTTCTCTAGTGGGGAACCGATGAAGGTGTCACTTTCCCCTCCGTGCTTTCAGAAAGCCCCCCACCGCAACCCAGTGGGACTAAGTAGATGGCAAGCGTCCCCACACATGAGGGACATTCCTACAAGGATATCTTCTGAGCTCTTTATGTTTTCACAAGTAAATTTTAGGCAGAAAAGGTTAATCCTTTATGCAGGGAACAGGAGAGGGACAGTGATATGTAAATAAATATCTATGACAGGGCTTGACTTCTTTCTTATTTGAGGGCTTAAGTCAGTAGTTAATAGTATTAAAAGAGCCAGTTCCCAAGAAAACACTTTAATTTTTTTTTAACATTTATTTATTTTTGAGACAGAAAGAGTGTGAGAGAGGGAGGGGCAGAGAGAGGGAGACACAGAATCTGAAGCAGGCTCCAGGCTCTGAGCTGTCAGCGCAGAGCCTGACGCGGGGTTCAAACCCATGAAGT